GTTGCGATGAAGCCTCAACCATCGAGTTGTTACCCACATCTTCCTTGGAGCTTGTCCAGGCGTCGCTACGACTCTTCTGTGTAAACATGGTATTGAGACTGGATGCAGAGCTCTTCCTACGTCTAGATTCCAAATACGTTCCCGATGGTTTCGTGGTGTGGCTCGGACTAGAAGCCTTCGCCGCGCTTATATTCATGGATGCCGAAATTGGTAATCGCGGAGGTGGCATACTGTCCTGTCGAGCATGCTTCTCGGAGGCCTTATCAACGGATCCGGCAGACGCATGATGACTACTCTTCGAATTGCTTCTTTTCCAAGATAAGCTTAATTTCCTCCTTAAATTACTCATCGAAGACGGCGTTGGAGGCTCTTCCGGACTATTCTCAGTAGGAGACTTGTTGCCTGCCTTCGTCGACTTCTGCGCCCGGGGACCAGATGGCTTCTGTGGTGGTCTAGGATCCACAGTGGTATCAATTGAAATCGGTTGATTTACATCTCCAGTCGTCTTAGATTTCGTTAGCCTGCTACCAAATATATCCTTCTTAGGAGCGGTCGTGGAGAGGAATGGTGAGGCAGAGACTTTGCGAATTTGGTTAAATTTAGCTAGAGACTCAAGCGGCGATTCAGATAAACTTCCTCCGGTCGGACTGTCTACTCGGCTGTGGTGAATAGAACTATTACTCCGCAGAACTGTTTTTTCAGATCCTTTCTCCGTACGACCTCTAGAGAAGAACGTGCTCCTCGATGCTGTCATTGGGGTGGTGGGGGTCTTGGGAATCGTCCGCGAGAGCGGAGGGCTGCATTTGCCGTCATCTTCGCCTTGATCTCGGAGAGCTGTGATCTTTGCTTCGTTTATACTTAATGGGCCAAGAGTGAGCGGCGGAAGCCGTAGGGGTTGTAGACTCTTTTTCGACTGACTTATGCCAATCTTCTGTTCAATATCTGGACCTGCAAGCGTCTGCCGCGGTGCATGCTTTCGAGTACCGGTTTTACGTTGGTATTTCTTTGTTGGTTCCTGTGATGGAGTACCCGATGGGGTTCCTGTGGAGGTGCTGTGAACGCTACTCGAATCTAACGTATATGTCGATTTTCTTTTCTCGAGAAAAGAGATTTCTGCTGGCGAATCCTTGGGTGATCCGTAGACTTTGGGAATTGCAGGCACAGGAGGTACATCTTCCTCCTCTTCACCTGTGGGAGGGTTATGTGCACTTAATGTTTTAGGAGCGGGTAATCTCGACGCCGGACCACCTTGAGGAAAGGTCCGCTGAATAGAACCAGTTGAAGTTCGGTGGGTATTGAAACTATTCACCGAGGCGACCGACAATCCCGAGCTGTAAGATTTTCTGTTAGTAAGCTCCGGGGTCGTCCTTGAGGACGAAGGTGTGGATGTCTTTCGAGGAATCATGGACGGTGAGCGCGAGTTAGGGCGAACTTCGATAGGCGGCGGCGGGACGTTTGTAATTTGTGGTACGTTCTGTGTAGGATGGATCGACATGCGCTTCATCCGTTGTGCATCAGTTGGCGAGATAGTTCTGGCACCTAGACCGGTTACGTGAGAACCATGGGTTCCAGGCATTACAGACATTCTTCTTGCAGAATTAGGTGTAGAACCTTTACCAGCTGCTCTTGGAGACCTGGGAAATGCGGCCGAAATACGGCTCTGATCTGGTGCAAGACCATTGCCGGTACTAGTACTTCCGGAGAGGTTGGCCGATATTCTTGGTGCAGGTTGTACCGAACGAGCCTTCGTAGCTCGTGTGTTTGCATAAGCCCTCGTTCCATCACCAGATTGCCCTGAAATATCAATCGAGGTCCGAACTGAAGCCACCACAACTCTCTCTGTCCCATCTGATATCAGGCTTGGCCTTCGTTTCTGCACTCTAGTCCCAAAATCCGACTCGATAATACCAGGTCCAATCGACTTCCTCGGCTGCTTACCAATATTAGTGCTAGAAACCGGAGGATAATGGTTCTGGCGTCGATTTCTCATTGCGGCAGGCGCAGTCGGCGCATCGACGATACCGGAAGACGTAGACACGGCGGAGCCGCTGCTAACCTGGCGATTTGACGAGCTAGGCCTTCTCAATATTGAACCAGATCTCCCCGGTCTAGTAGCTGGTGCATTGGAGGTAGGGTTTGGTTGAGCTCCTGTACGGGTCGTTGCGCCATTTAGGCTGGTACCCGAAGACTGCCTGACCATTCTGTCTGAGTATTGCTCGTCGAGAACGATTCCTTGGCCAGATGGCGGAGGAAAATGTGTCAGTTTAAGATCGTTGGAGGCCGACTCGAGGCTGCTCTGGAGATCATCGAAACTGACGGATGGTAGGAATTCGAAAGAGCTGGCGGTGTTGTCTCCTACGTCACTTGGAGCCCCATTCCGACCGAAGGAGAAGAGTGAATGATTGTTGGACGATGATGCGTGAAGCATTGGCTCGTTATCGATCCTGTTTATAGGGTTGACGTTCTCCTTGGCCCTGAAACGAAACAAGCAGAATTAGTAAACAAAAGCCTTTATAGAAACAAAAAGCGACGCGGCCTTTCTTTTCTTATTGTGACGTGAGACGCGAGGTGAGTGGGAAAACGCACGATCGAGTCGGGGACTGCGCAGCTGGTCTCGGGCCAGCAGGAGCCTTATGATCCCTAATCATAAGGAGTAACACAGTCAAAGTATCGTAACAAGAATTGGTGATCGGAACGGTAGTATAATCGACGAGTTTAACGAAAGTCGCGACGGATAATATTCGCTATGATCTCTAAGCGGCCAAAGCGAAACCGATAGAATCCCCTAGGTTAACTCGACCCAGATCTAAAGCTGGAGACTCGCGATCAATCTCAGTCCGGCTAAGGACCTGAGGACGGCAATACTGCTACCGCATTCCGGGATGCAATGCAAAAAAAGCAAGACTAACAAGTAGACGACAAAGTCGCCGGTGCAAAGAAAAAGAAGAAGAAAAAGACGATGGGCTGGCGTTGCGGTTTGACCGACTGTGGCTACTATCGAATAGAATTGGGTTCACGAAAAGGGTTGGTGGATTGTTTTCATTAAGGGAAAGAAAATAAGAGGTCGAAACGGGGCTGATCCACAGCGTTTTCCCGTACCGGTCAAGTGAGTTTTTAGTCGCCTCCAAACATGTATCCTAGGGATTAAAGAGATCAGACCGGTTAACCTAGGTAAGTACAATTTAGTACGATTGCTACCGTACAGGTTAAGGTAGAGGAAGGCACAGTTCCCTCCAGCGGTTCATCAAAGTTGGCTGTCTTGGGATGTTCCTTAATAAGGTTGGCCTGTTAAGGTTGGCTCTGGTTGGGGCTACTGTCCACTGATTGAATACTGTATATATGGGAGTCCACTTTTATTAACAATACGTACATGTACCTCTTAACACACTTTAACACACAAACAGGTGGCAGGTAGGCAGGTACCGATGCTACTAGGTATACCTCTGCTGGAAGATACTTGGCAGGACCGGTCTACGGCACGTTGATATGTAGCGGGATGTCGATGTCCTACTGTAGGCTGCTAGGCATGACACTTGGTACAGAACCCCTTAATTGCTTGTTCCATCTGAACATCACCACCTAGGTATTTCATAGTCCTTGTATCAATATATGATATAATTATAACCTCATGCAGATGCACATGTGTGTCAACCGTATTACAAGCTTACGCATGGCATACATATTTTATTATCATGCTGAAAGAAATGCATCTTCATTTCATATTAAATTTGGTTTACATACGTGCGATCGATATTCACAGCATTTAATTTGTGAAGAGGCGTTTTTACGTGTTATGCTGAGACTCGTCATTGCATGCGTGAGTCTAGATAAGGGAGATCGAGGGAAGAGGAAAAAAGAGTGGGAATTACCAACCAATGAGACAAGTGTGAGTATGTATTGAGAAGAAACGTTGAAGATGGAACAATACGGAGAAGCCCACCAGTATCATAAGTTCGGAGATTTATTTCTTCTCTTCTTATTTGATGAGAGAGATCTGCGGGGGGGTATATGATAACGGTTGTCTTGGTTGTTTTCTTATTTTTTTTCTTGTTTCTCTGTAGATATTGTCTTACCACACCATCAATGGGCCGTCATTATATCTCCAGCAAGCTTCGTCTAATTTTTCTAGGGTTGTTGACCGTATAAAGTCATCAAAGCGAGATGGTTGCCGGGCGAATGGTGATTGATAAGAGGGAAGGACAATCCCGCTTTGTTCGTCTCCATTAACATAGTTCAATGGAATTTGGTACTGATGTCCGTGCTGCAAGTTCAGTTTTTAGTACAGTATCTACACCCGTGTTTTCATCTCATGCCGCATGTTTCACTCGTCCAGTAATATACGCTAACAAGGCATCAGAAACTAAACATTTCGGCGTTACCGTGTTACCGTGCTACAGTGTTACAGTGACACGGACGGGGTGTACAATGATTACAACGTTTCTTGTCACCGGCAGCAACGGCGCAAGATGACATGCAAGATTTAAGAGCAGTATCTTATCCGTTATGTAGCCGGTCCCTCGACTTGAAGGACATACCTTTATTAATGCAGCTAGCCCTTAACTATGCTATGTAGGTCTTAGTGGGTGGCCAGCCACTTTTATGTACACCTGCATGAACACGTTTTGTGGGGTTATTTCCTACCAGCCTATAAAAAATACGCCTAAGGACCCCCCTTTTCTTCTTTAGATCAGGAACAAACAAAACAAGGGACTCACCGCGCCCAAAGCGGAATTAAGCTGATAGAATTGGCTGCAGGAAAGGGGTTCGGTAGTTCCAGAGCTCTGATCCTTTTTAAAGCTTTTTTTCCTTTCTCTTTTAGTCAAGCCCTAACCCAACCGGCGTGTTGGATGGGACGAATATTTCTACGCGTTTTTCGCGATTGAGTACGTACCTACCTAAGGTACCTATGTACCTATTTAAGATCACGACAGATATGTAATAAGAGATAATCCTTTGTTATTGTTCAAGGTTCTACTGTCGTAATCCAAGTCAGACCCAACTTTCATCATCTATCCCATACAACCTATCAACCATAAAATTTAGCAAATTTATAAAAGATACCTAAGGAGACGGTAGGGAGCGACGCCAGCCTGCGCCAACATCGCGAACCACATGGAAAATGCGTAGATATTTCAAGTATTTCGAAAAGCGCGTGCAACGAGATCCTGCGAGAATCTAATGTAGTCAGGATCGATTGGGAGGTACATAGCCATTATGTACATTTAGCTTATAGCGATATGTGATATTCTACTATCATATCCACGAAGCTACCAACTTGAGTTGTCTCAAAGTATTAGATTCCAATGACGAGTCGACTCGTATGCGACACAAATCCTCTAATACGACATTCGTGCCTATGGCACAGCCCGCATTTTTTTCATAATACAATGAGTTGGCTGGGAATCTATCTATGATGATATTCGCGCCCAAGATCATGCCGCGACTCGCATCGTGCAACAGACTGTCATTAACATCCCCCCCTCCGGTAGCACTACATCGGCTCGACCTTTCCAGTAGTAAGCCGTAGGGCTAGCGCGAACAAGAAGGTCGCTACGCTGATCTCCTATCGTGAAGTCGTGCCGTATATGTAAGAGTAGAGTGATTTGGTTTCCGTCCTGGTATCTCCCGTCCCGTGGACTACCTACACACAACATCTTAACCCATCATCATACCCTCCCCCCCTATAAGAACAACCTCCAGACGCCCAGCCAAGCCAACCCCAACGACGTAGCCGCGATACCGAATCTCCGACTGCGCATACCGAACACGGATTTCCTCGCTATGATCTGCGCGCGGTTCTTCTCGAGTTCTCGCTGGCCGGAAAAGTAGCTATAAGCCGCTAGGCCGATAAACGCACCGCCTCCTATAGTTAGTCGTATATACATCAGCACACGGGCTCGGCGTAGTTATTTAGGTACCTAAGTTAGCAGGTACACGGTTAGAAATGCGCTGAACTGACCTACGACTCTGCAAGGGAGGCAGTCTTCGCCCCGATCCTGTTTCAGTAAGTCTTTGAGGTCCTCGGGCCTGTCGAGAGTGCCGACCGACGGCACTTTATCCTTGCTCATGGCGAAAGGTAGAGCGCGGCTTTAGTACCTAGGTGCGCTGAGGGCGGACAGAAGGAATTATTGTTAAAACCTTTGATAACGGCGATCTTTTTTTGAAAGTTGCTAAAACGCAGCTGAAAGTTGAATTGGACCGTGCACTTTTCAGAGCCCCGCTAAGCTTCCGTCTGGATCGACTTGCCCGAACATGTACACGGTACCTAACATAATCACTCCCGGAGCCGTAAAATCGGGGACAAGACGGCTTTCCATCAAAATATTGAGAGAATAATAATAGGAACCACGAATAATGTAGAACTTCAATCCAAATTTAATATAATTAATATTCACAAAGCTAGTATCAAAGCTTGAAGCTACTACTCGACGCAACCTTAGCCGCCTTTGCCTTATTACCTTCCATATCCACAATCTCGCCCTTCTTGTTGATAACCTTGACACCGCCCAGCTTGAGATCACCAAGAGTCTGTTTTTGTGCTTGGGCCTTCGCGCTCTTAGGCTTCTTATCTTCGAGGCCGCCAGCCTTCCGTATCCTTTCCTTCTCTCTCCTGCGTCTTCTAACCTTGTCCTCTCTGCTCATCTCTTCCTTAGCAACAGGTAAACCGCTCTTGGCAACCACCTCACCCTTTTCAGCAGTGTCCTTGCCAGCCTTATAGATTTCTTGTGGTGCCAGAGTATGGTCACCACCGCTAACGCCCTGAGAGGTCGTCGGTTGAGCGTCTTCCATGCTAATCGTTGCTACATCCGATACGACTGTAAGTGAGGGTGCGGCGGGCTTAGGTTTGTAGTGCCAGCTAGTGAGAGCATCGAGGCTTGCGCTAACTTCCTTCCACATCTGCTCAATTTCCTTCTCTTCTTTTCCAAGTTTCTCGTCAGCTTTGCTCACGTAAGAATCTGGATTTGCGTTCTTGACGTGTTCCTCCTCGTAGATCTCCGCAAGCGACTGTTTAGCTTTGGTGTCGTCCAGATCGACAAGTCCTCGTCTAGTATTGGACGAGAACTCAGAGGCATCAGGGCGTCGTTTAATGACTTCGTCAAATTCTTGGGCTAGAATACGACGTTTAATCATATCCTCAATGCTCTCGCTCACTTCAGCCGTAATGACCGGTACAGGCTTGCCCACGTGCTCAAAGTCGAGGTCCTCCCCTAATAAAGAGTTCATCGGCCTATCAGCAGCTTTAGCTTCTCCAGACATAGCCCATTGCCTCTTAGCTACATTTGCAGCTTCAAGCTGCCGAATCTCTTCTGCTAGCTTGGCCTGCCGCCTTTCGTGTGCCGATTTCCTGGATTTAGGGTCGCCCGCAGAAGCGTCAGAAAGAGCATCTTCCGAATCTTCTCTCTCTGATTCGTCTTCGAACAAATCTCGCCGGACATCCGCCATTGCTCGGTCAACGTCGTTGTCGTCTGGTCTTGTCGGCCGAGGCTCCCTGAACTGCTTGGCTTTGCTGTTTTTAGCCCCCTTCCGCTGCGGAGGGGCGAAGAAATCTTTATAATAGATCTCGTTAGCGTTTGAATCATCTTCACCATCCATTTCGTCGCCTTCTTCTTCGCTCTCTCCTTCTGGCGCATCTAGATCCATGTTACCGAAGGTTGGTCCCCCATCTTCCTCATCGTCTTCGATATCAGAAAGCATCTCGTCATCAACGTCATCAGTAGGTTTCTTACGCGCCTTTCCGTTACTGGAGGGCTTTATGGAGCGTGGGTCAGCATGCCAATCTACCTCATCGTCGTCGCTTGCACGATCGACATCCGGGTCTCCTCGGGCATCCGCATCCTCAAACAATTGGGTCTGTTTGTTGAATTCATCGATAGAAAAGAAACCATCGTTCAGACCGTTTGGATCTTCAACCAGCTCTTGCGAGGCCTCTTCGGGCTCATCTTCATCGTCGACCTCATCTTCTTCCTCATCGACGTCTTCCAGACCCCCCTCCATATCATTCTCTGATAATTCGGCATCATCCTCGAGGTCTTCCTCGTCTATCTCCTCATCTTCCTCGGAATCTTCTATAACTCCTTCTGAATCTTCGATCTCGGAGGCAGACTCGTAGTCAGCTGAATCCCCGTTAGGGACGTCCCCAACCGGTTGGTCGATACCGATATGCGCATCTCCGTTGATGCCGTTCATCTGGAGTTTCTTCTGATCTTCTAATTCTTGGAGTGCACTTTTCGAATCCTGCAGTGCGCTTGTGATAATTCTTCTTGCCTGTTGCCAAACTTGACCACTTTCGAACCCATCGACGTGAAGCTTCCTGATCTTTAGTATTTCGCCTTTGCCTAGTCCGTTCTCAGCCCGTTTCCGCTTCTTGCTGTCTTCCCTTTGGCGCTGCTGTTGTTCGTCGCATATTTGCCCAGCATATGCATCGAGTGTGGCCTTCGCAAGCTGCAACGAAGCATTCGGGATTGCAGAGGCTGGTTGTAGGAAGCTATGCCGGTTGCTGGATTTGATAGCCTCGAAAAGTTCCAGCATCTCTACGGCGCTAGATGGTCTTGAGGGGTCGACAAAAGAAGATAAAAATCCTACTGATGGCGCATGTGTTAAAGTATGTGAAGTTGAGGTCATGGAAGACGTAGTGCTATCAGGCCCCGCCATTGCTTGTTCCTCCAGCGAGGAGGGGAGGATGAATATAAATAAATAAATACTGGACTTCTCTTTAATCAATGGTTCGGCGAATTGAGAAAAATTGACCGGTTCAGAAAAACTTTCCTAGTTCTAGGATGAATCAAGGGACCCCACACGGTACGGTGTTTATCGATAAAAAAACTACCTAAAGTTAACGAGTCGTCCCACAATTTAGTTTCGGACCCTCTGACGGCATCGCCTCTCCAGCTCTCTCAGTTGTACCTTGAAATATTTACATACCCAATACCTAAGCCTTATCTTCTAGATCTAATGATGTGCATATCAACCCGGCCACCATGAACGGCGTAATAGAGGCGCTGCACATCTACGATGAGCATAAGTCAGTCCCCCCTTCCTCTCCCCCTTACAATAGTTATTATATTCTAGTTAAACTCTTTCCAAACTAACAATAACCGTATAGTCGTGCGATACTCTCTCATACCTATACCTCACGTCCTCTTTCGGCCGCCGTCCTTCTTCCCCTGTATCTCGAACATCCGGCTCCGAGACCCAACTTAATATACCTACCCAATACTAACCCTCCGACCCTTGTGTTTAGTCTTATACATGCAAATATACTTTACTTGGCCACTTCTTCTTCTGAGATAGAGCCTCTTCTCGTCCTCGAGTTCCTCCATCGCATAATCGACGCTCTTGAAGAGTTCCTCGGCGCGCCAGTCCTGGCGCATAAGATCGAAGCAAATTACGATGTCGTTGCTCAACTTCTTACTGAGATGTGCGATGCCGGTACTGTTAGCACTACAGAACCAAACGCATTGAGGGATGTGGTCGAAGTGGAAGGTTTACTAGGGAAGCTATTAGGTAGCATTAATCTGCCTGGTAAATCCCCTAGTAACTCGAGCACGCCGTCCCTCATAACCAATATTTCGCCAGCTCTTCCCTGGAGGCGAGCGAATGTGCGACATACATCAAATGAGCTCTACGCCGATATTGTAGAGACGCTGTCTGTTACTCTTGCACCATCTGGTAGGCCAATCGCTGCATATGCGAATGGTACTATTGCGTTTACATCTAAGGTATCCGGCGTCCCAGATATCCTCATAAATATCACTGGGCCCTCAGGGAAGCATAACCTGAACAGCGTTATGGAGCTACCAGTCTTCCACCCATGTGTACGATTAAACAGATGGAAGGAGAATCCGGGAGAACTGAGCTTCATACCTCCGGATGGACGCTTCATCCTCGCAGGCTATGAAGTGGATTTACTACCCTTCACCAACGGAAAGAGTGGGAATTTGAGTTCAAACAGCCTAAGACTTCCAGTAAATATCGAGGTCAAAACCGGGTTGGGATCAACCGGTTCAGACTTTGAAGTTCGGCTTAATATCAACAAGAACTTTGGGTCTTCTAGTTCTTCAATATCAGGGTTATCCGGTAGAGGCGGCGGCCCAGGTAACAGAGGATTCGGAGGACCACACCCAGGCTCGGCTGGCGCGCCACTATTGCAAGACCTTATCGTCTCGGTGCCGCTACCTTCGGAAGTTAGGAACCTTTCAGATATTCGACCGAGTAAAGGAGACGCTAGTTTTAATGCAGGAGATAGGGTATTGGAATGGCATATACCCACAAAGGAGCTTTCCACCGGGACATCTTACTATGGCCTTCGATGCTCAGTCCAGGGTCCATTAACTGAAGATCAAGAGGATACCGATCCTAATGGGTTCGGTTTCGGCAAGGACTATACTTACGACGAGCCATATCAAAGCAATGTCAATGAGAAGCCCAAAAATGGCGAGGGAAGCTCGGACAGTGAAAAGGACGCCAAAAGAATTGCCCAGAACAAGATCCTCATGCCAAGCTCTGCGTCTGTTAGCTTCTCCGTCAAGGGGTGGCTATCAAGTGGAATCAAGGTCGAGAGCATCCTCATCGACCCGAGAAAGAGTCGAGGTCTCGGCGAAGGAATAAAACCGTATAAGGGTGTAAAGTATCTTACTATTAGTAAGGGGGGCGTTGAGACTAGATGTTAAAGGGTACGTAGGGCATATTAACGGTTACATTTGGAGTCCCACTATCCAGTTATTGCTCCAACAATGCATTGCATGATTGCATGATCGGCGTTTTGGTGTGCATGCTGACAGGCTGAGGAGCTACAAGACATCACTACGCATAGATCAGCAGGGCGTCAAGCTAGGTGCTATTGGATGATTAGGTATCTCTATTCCCTTAAGATTATACCGGACTTTAGCAAATCCTCAAATAGAAAAACGGGGAAGTATCACGACGACTACTCTGCCGCTGAAGTTTATATTTAACCTAGTGAAATTGTTTTAACGGATATCTTCGGGTGTATATAACCTACGAGGTAGATACATGGTACATGTACTAAGCTAGATCCGGGGAAGAATGTGGGGAACCTAAGGACCTTGGCAATTGCGGGCAGCTTCCATACCTAGCATCTGTCGAACAAGGGCCGAGGTAGCTGAAGGTACCTAAGGTATGTACCTCAATACCTCAACAACATATGATGTAGAGTCATCAATCGAAGCTTCGACCTTACAACTTCTTAACCTTTGCTCCTTTAACCCGAATATCCTTTGCAACAATTACTATTCTACCTTCTTGCTCCAACGGCTTAGCCAGGGTTCACATTCGATGATTGTGAGAATTGGTCGCCGCAGCGCAAACGTAGCTGGCCTGCGGTGATGAGTATGCTTATTTCCCCGTTGCGCCGGCCCATCCGCGCCGTGGGTAGGGTATGTCGCCGATTCAGCTTAACCAATCTTCCCAGTCCGACGGTATACCCTATGGGCCCAATTGGCTGTCGAAACTATGTATCAACAACAGGAAAGAGGCCGCGGACTGCTATCTTCTTTCCAGGTCAGGATTCCAATGAATACCCTCGAGAACCAAACTAATTAGCTCTGCCGTTATTACAGGCCAAGGAGTCCAGAAAGTCGGAATGCTTACGCCCTGGATCGAAGCCTTCCCAGCTAGAGCCGCGCAAATAATTGATGAGATTGATAGTTGTATGGGATACAAGCTATCAGACATAATACAAAATGGTCCGAGCCGAGTACTTACCGCAACACCCAACGCCCAGCCGGCGATCATGGCAACCTCCATTCTCATTCTCCGCATTCTCGAGAATGAATTTAATTTCGATATCTCTAAGCGAGTGGACGTATCGCTCGGGCATTCACTGGGCGAATTTGCAGCTTTAGTGGCAGCTGGTGTATTAGAATTCGAGGACGCTTTATATATGGTGCGCAAACGCGCGGAGGCTATGGCGGAGGCTACCCAGAAGGCCAAGGGAAAATACGGAGGAGAATATGGCATGGTAGCCGTCGTTACGGAGCCTGAGTATTTAACGCAACTGATCGAGGCTATAGACGACTTCGTGGGATATCGCAGTGCCGGCGCGAGGAGTGAGAGCGCCGACTCCATGAAGCCCATCGACCAAGTGCTTATTGCAAATATCAACAGCAAGAACCAGATTGTGCTGAGCGGGAATATACAGAGGATCAAGGAACTAACAGCTCACGTCCGACAATTCCTTGGCCACGACCCTAGAGCGGTTCGATTAAATAGCGACAGTCCATTCCACAGTCCACTCATGAGACCAGCAGTCGCCGTGATGCGAGAACTAGTCTCGAGGAAGAGTAGAGTAAAGGGCCGCGAAGAGAAAGATGTCATCACGTTTCCGGGCCGGCTACAATGTATAAGCAACGTGAGTGCACGACCATTCGAAGACGCCGCGGATGTGAAAGACCTCCTGGCGCGACAATGTCTTGAAACCGTCAATTGGTGGGACAGCATCAAGTATCTGGATCAAGAGCAGAAGGTTAGAAGGTGGATCGGTATTGGGCCTGGAAAGGTTGGTAGGAACCTTGTAGGAAAGGAGGTGGGCATGCGCGGGATGGACTCGGTTAAAGGGGGCGGCGTCTGGGCCATCACCGATCCAGTCGATATCGAGGATGTCCTAAAAGGATTGGAAGAGACTGAGTTACTACAAGAGGAAGAAGAAGAGGAATAGTAACGTATCAGATGCTAAGAAAAACGAAACCGAAAAAAAGAAGGTGTCTTATAGACGACGTCCTATGATGGTAGGAGGTGGTATTAGATCTCTCAAGGTTCATCGAGCCTTTTAAAAATAACTATGTGCTATTACATTGTAGGTACCTAGATATCATGCTAGATAAGGTTACGTACGGACGTCATAAAGACGATAGATACCGCTCGAATAATAAACATTTACATTGAGTCCTCACATTTACCTTTCCGTTATATTTAATTTTTAAACCCCTGGAGGTGTTATGCCCCCCCTTTTGATTCACTGAAGACCAAATAGTGGGGCAGTCTTAAGCTCATTATCGATAGCCCAACTTCATTAAATCGAAGCACTCAACCATCTGTACATCTTTCCATCTTCCCGATCCAAACGTATACACAGGAGCGCAAAACCGGCAGCACATGTAGTCATGGCGACCACAATACCTTCTATAGCCTGTCTGGGCGTCATAGGGCGAAATGTATGTTCATTTATTATCCTTCCCCCCGCCCTAATACGCAATCCCATTCACCCATTTCCACTCCGAGAAACCATCTAAACTATGTACTACTCCGACCACCACCATCGCTCCTCGCTAACATCAAAACGCAACTAGAACAACCCCCTCCACATAACCATATTCCCCTCCTACGACCCCGCGAGCAACACCCGCGCCCCCCTGCGCACGCCCCTGCAATTCTCCCTCCTCCTCAGCAGCACCCTCGACATCTTCGAAACGCGCGCCCGCCGCGCCGGCGCCGCTCCCACCACCACCACCACCAGCAGCACTGCCACCACACCCATTCTCACCGGCGATTTCGGCCTCCTGCACGCCGTAGACGAGCGTCTGGCCGCGTACGGCTTCGAGACGAACACGGGCGTCAAGTTCGTCGCCGTGGTCGATATGCGGGGCCGGGTGGCTGGAGGAGCTGGCGGCTCCGCGGGGATCGTTAGAGGCGGCGTCGGGCTTAGGGAGACGGAGCTGCGCGTCGTGTTCCGCGCTATGCAGACCGCGTACGTCCGGCTGCTGCAGAATCCGTTCTACGACCCCGACGAGCATGCGCCGCTGGTGTTGCCGCCGGGGGGCGGCGTTGGCGGGAAGAGGATTACGAGTCGGAAGTTTGCGGAGGAGATGAGGCGGATTGGGGAAGGGTGGGCGCCTGGGTTGGCGAATTTGTAAGTTGGGTGGAGGGGAGGGGGAGATAGGTGAAAAAAGATGAAGGGCGAGTTTTCTGGGTTTAGGAGAGCGTGGCTGTTCGGGTGCGCATGCATGTGTAGTGGCGTTATGGACGGGCAATAAAGCATGGAGTCTAGGCGTTTGGTATTTGGTACCTCGTTTATATGGTGATGCGCATTTATGTACGCGCTCTATCTAGATATGATATACACAATTCTACAGATTAGATCCCTACTTCTGGCCGTGACTTTTCGCCTGGCCCTCCCCCGAGAAGGCCTTCTTTAAATATTCGAGGCGTAGCCGTTGTAGACCTGCCGGTTCTTCGAGCTCTACTGACGGTCCCATGCTAGCATCATCCCCTCGGACAACTGGCGAGGCTGACCATGGCCGTGGCTTCGAAACCGGCGAGCCTTCCCAGTGCCGTGCTTCTGGAGGAAGTGGCTGCCACCAGTTATCCCCTGTGCGGCTATGCCATTGGGCTCCGCAGAGTTCCCAGAGGCGACTTGTGGCTCGTTTGTAGGCAAATCGTTCATCCTCTCCAGTAAATGCGCTAGTGTTACTAAAGTCTACTTTGGACTTTTGCTCTACGCCAAAGTCGGAATCCTGATCCGGATCATAGTCCGTATTTCTCGAGTCGGTATACGACGAGATATTCGGCCTGAAAGGCGACGTCGTATCTTGGTAAACCTCGGCAACCGTCTCGGAGTGTATTACGTCTCCGTCAATAATCTCGCTTCCTTTAAAAACATCTCGCTTCGCGGGTGAGGGGACAACCTTCGCTTCCGGGAAAAATAGATCGTCGGGAGCGGCCTCGGCCCGGATAACTAATTTACACCTCGCTTCATACAACGCGTCTAATAACGTAATCAGTCTTCTTGCCTCGTTCTTTTTGAGAATCGTTAAGATGGGCACGCCATCGATGATGAATGTATGAAAAGTCGAGGCCATCGTAATATAGTCGGCTGGTCCGAAGGAGGAGACGAGGTCCTTAAAGTCCCATAAAACAGATCCGCCGTAATGCCGAGGAATAGTGATAGCCCGGCCGTAAACGGTCACTGTTAAGGACTCCCAAGGTATTTCGTGCTTTTTAGGAGGCGAAATCAAGCTGTTCAACGTTTCCATCCATAGAGCTTCATCTGTTTCACCCATGAGGAAGTAATTCCTTGGCGTTGTGATGGATAGGCTTGATTCGCCCGTTTCCCCAGTCTGTGTATCAGATAGCACTGTCGCGGAAGTCATTGCTGACTCGTTAGATATAGAATTCTCGATAGGGGTCTTAACACGTTGGCTCAGTAACTCGCTAGCTTCACGACGCCTCCAGTCTTTACCTCCTTCCATTTGCCAGAATTCGCATCTTGCTTTCAAAACTTCAAGAAACGATGCAAAATCACTAGTAGAACCGAATAGTTCCCCTCTTCCGCGAGTCTGTCTTAACCCCAAGGCTTGACTTATGAGACTGCCAGCTGTGGGAGGAACATATTCGACTCCGGTAGCCTTTTCTAGCTCATCTGGCATACGATTTGATGAAGCAACGAGGACGCCGCCTAGTTGAAAGAATGCAATAAAGAGATTACTGAGGATTTTGCTTGCCGCTCTATCCGGGAGTTGAAACTCGTCCAGGAAGAGAATTGGCGACTTCTCAACCATATCCTTAGCCATCCATAACAACGAATATTCCTGGTCACCTTGGTCCAGACGTGAATGTGATTTTCGATAACGCTCAAGCTGAGACAGCGTGTACAGCATGAAAGTATTAAAATGCCATCGCCGTTTGCGGCTTGTAGGTAATCCATCAGCTAGGAGGTCAAGCAGCATCGACTTGCCGGTGCCCACTTCACCTGATAGGAATAAGCCTTGCGGTGAATCTATTTGAATCGCCTCTTCGTGGCTCGTGAGAACTTTTATAAGAGCCAAGGTATCCTTACTCTCATTGCGAGCGAAGAACCGAGAAAATAGGGGGTTGCGCCAGATAGGATGGCTCTCGACTGCGAGAGCGCGCGACGGGTCCTTATCTTCCTTTCTAACGCTGTCTAGGGCACTGGTAATGGCTTTTAATCTAACACGGTACTCATGTGATGGTGAATAATCCTTGAGCCGATGATAGACCTTTTGAAGATGAATTGCTAACCGATGCTGAGCAGCATCGGGGGAACAGACCCCAGTCGCTAGTAGTGACTGATACTTCACTAGGGGATCTGTAATCGTAACTGAACTGATGCTTCGTCTCATCTTGGGTTCTTGTATGATACCAGTATCCCTTCCAGATGACGGGCACGATATGTAGCCTAAGCTTATATATATATAATTGCCAGGGGTAGCTCCCCGGGATTACTTGGCTACCATGGAGGGATTAGGAATTACATACAAGCGAAAAAAAGTCCAACCCCCAAGTAGAGTAGAGTATAGCATCAATGCTAAACATCTAATGGAGATATCCAGATTCCAGGCTACTAAACTTTTAACATCTTCCAGTCAACAGGGAAGTGATAAGCATTTTTTTTTCGAGAGGGCAAACTTGCAATATTCACTTTCCTAAAGAGGCAAATGAAGAAATAATAGATTGAGGTTGTCGTTGTCGTTATTAAAGTCGAGGCTCAAACAATCCTGACATCAGAAGTTGCCCCGGATTTGTTAAGTCCTTGCGATTGGTTGCTTTGGTTGCTTGGCCCTTGCTAAAGCTGCCAACGCACGAGCCACATGACGGTTGCAAAAGCATTTGATCCGTCTCTGCTCGTCCACAAGCGGCAAGCATAGGGGTCTTGAAGTTTCTAAAACGGTCTAGCTTCAGCCGCGCCTGCATTGAACCTCTGACTTGTATTGATGATACATATAAATTCTATGTACCTTTACGTAGCACCCTTGCACCCTGAGCAACTAAGCAAAGTTACTGGTAAATGCCAGGGTTACGTAGCTCCAGCTAACCTAATTCCAGTGAGTTAGGTATGTGTTTTTTTTCCCTTCTTCCTCCGTTCCCTACAGGTACCCAGCCAAGGTGAAGCAACGGCCCAATCAATCGTAGCCAAACATTTGTCGGCCTCGTCATTCTTTCGCGAACGAAGGCTTCCACCATTCAATCTTCATCTTTTTTTTTTTTACACCTTCACACCTCTCACCTTCTCCAACATTTTATCCACGCCCACGCCCACGCCCACGACTTCTTCCGCCTCCTCACGATGAGCACGTATTTTCTACATCAATCGGTCCATCGATAATAACGGATTTTCCTCATCGCTAAAAAGTATTCGATTGCATCCTTGTTTCGATTCCTGTTGTTCATCCTAAGGACTCATCTTGCAGAATTGTTGCATCATGTTTTCGGCTACCGTCAACGGCGCTGAAAATCCGTCGCCTGCCTTAACGGCAACCCGTGGCCGACGACGTCAACGACCCGTGAGCTCAGATAACTCGGTGCAGCAACCCAAAGCGAAGCGACCGAGAATACCATTGAACGATCAAACCTTCGCGAATCCTATTGCTACTCCTATTGCTACTCCTGAGACGTACGAAGTCAAATCCGCGAAACCTCCGATAGTCGATTTGAAGCAAGACGGAATTGAGGAATCGCCTGCACCGAAGCAAGAACTCAGTTTTCGATCGAGGAAAGTTCGACCAAGCGAACGTCTTAGCAAGGGGGATGGTAGTACGCTTTTAGTAAGTTGTACTAGCAAAAAGCTCCCGTCGAGCTTGAGTTTAAATGACTGACACGTCCGTCAACAACCTAGTCAACCAATATCGCATTTGATGTTCGGAAACTCCCAGCTCTACCTGATCGATTAAAGCTGGACACTGGTAGTATGTTATCTCTTCACCGCTCGTCAATTCGTCGACTTTCTATAATCACTAACTATATCACTAACTCTATCGCGTAGGTCGTCAGCATGGTTCCGTCGATAGTTCCACAGGATATGCCCTAAGCATCTCTCATACTCATGCCATCGTCTGGCCATATGCGGCGCCCGCCCAGTCTCCTGAATCTTTCACCTTTGCATTGCCGTATCCCTCGAAGTCCTCGAGCGACCTCTTACCCCTAGGCGCGCTCGTCCCTCCGTCCGCCTCCTCTTCCGAGCCGGGTTTAGTAGTAGTAATGCCTACTAGCGGTAAGGTGACCTACTGGGAATCGATATCGAGCGCGACGACACTGGATTTCATACGCCAACAGCAAAATGGCGTCGAAGGTTCTATCACGGGAATGTTTTCCGGAGAGGCTGTTATTCAGATCACCCAGGCCGAATCCGCGGCTGGTTTCATCCTTGCATTTAGTAGTGGACGCCTGGCATACTTAAGCGTCCGAGACACGCATGGCCGCCCGAAAATCTCGACACAGTTCCTGCGCACTAACCTTGGCCCTGCTAGCAGCGGGTTCTTTGGAAGTCTCCGACATGCGCTGTCACAGACTGCTTCTCAGGGAGATATCGCTGCCGTACGTTCAGAAAAGTCATCCAAGCAAGGCGAGTGTACTGTCGTTGCTGTTACGTCGAAAGGTCGCCTGCATTCTTGGAGGGTGCACCGGGGAGGCCACCATGACCTTCTGGTTGAGGTAGATGCTCGCAACACTATCCTCGGAGCTCTCCAGCAGATGGACAGCGTAAGCGCCAAACTACCTGCCGAGTCGCTAAAGATACTCGACTTCTGTTTCGTACCCAAGGGCGTAGAGGAAAAGTATAACGAGATGAGTCAGCTTCGTGAACCCTCTGAGTCTGAGGATCAGCAACACTTGGTACTCCTTGCTTCGTTATCTAATAAGCAAGGATGGCGTTATACGCTTATTGAAGTTGTATTGTATCCCGGGCTTTCGTCAGAAAGCCCCATCGATGTTGGCATGGTTCGACCGATATCTGCTTACTCTACCGCACCAGATTCCTCGGCTCTTTCTAAGCCTCGACTTTATCTTCCTCGACCAAATATCATTGCTTTTCTTGTCTTCGACCACGCCGCCGTGATAGCCTCAATTGCCCAACCCCCTGACTCGCCCGATTCACAAATACTCGAAGACAACCATATCATACCCGC